GACCGACTAGAAAACGCCTGCGGGGGAAAACGGCTATCATATTCGGCATTAGCATGGTCGATTACCTATTGTCCACTAGGTTTTAAGCCAAAAGCGATGGGGCAGTTGGTGGCCTTCCCTCGTAAGATGTTCGGTAATATTCTTAGTTTGAAAACTCTTTGAAACGGAAATCATTGTCTCATTTTCGATGATGATTGTGTGTTCATTAATTTTTTCCTGCGAGATTTGGTAATTCGTCTTAAGTGTATTTTTAGGAAATGCTGCTTATTGTTTAACTAAGCCGTAGTAAGATTTTTCACTAATGAAATTTTAGTTTTAGGAGCTTCACAAGGTCCAATAGGAGAGGTCCAAACGAGAACGTTTTCTGAAAGAAGAAACTACGAGCTATCTTGCCGACTCTAAAAGTTAGAGCACTCCTATTAAAAATAAGTAAAGCTTTTGTTAGAAACTCAAAAATACGCTAAATCCTTTAAACGCAAAAACTCATGATTTCTTTGCCCTTGCATTATATTTTGCAAATTGGGCAACACTCAAAAGGTTATGTATCATTTTTTGTATATGACCTTTTCTGGAAAGATCATGTCTCGGTGTTTGTATATGACCTTAACTTAGACAACCTCTTGTCCTCTTCTTGAAAAATACATGGACAATTAGAATTCGTATTTGGTATTCGTTCGAATGCTCCTTGTTCCCTTTTAAGATAGTTCACATAGAGAATTTGCTACGTATACAATTTAAGTTGCTGATGTGTACTTCATCATATAAACGGAAACTAAGTAAAACCACAATTCGTATTTTTAACGAATTCTGGCACCGCCTCCAAATTTGAAAATACTTTTTACTACCAGGATCATATCACTTGCTCAAAAAACTCTTCTGTTTCATAAAGTGTTCAAAAATAGCTGCAGGAGAATCGCGAAAAAAATGAAAGATGCTTACTTGTTGTTGCTTGTCCTGATCCTTGTCCTGGTCCCAGCTGTTCTGTAGTGCTGGTGGTGACCGGGCTCGTGGGTCTGCTAGTTCTGCCTGTCGTTCTACTGCTCGTTTTTGATATCGCAATACTGGTCTTACCTAAAAACAGCAAACTATACAAGACGTTTTATTAATGATATTAGAGACTTTTTTTCACCTGCCAATGTTGCACCACCACCACCGCTACCACCACCAGCAGCAGTAGTCCTGGTCTTAGCTGTAGTTAACACACTTGCAGCCCGTGCTGTAGTCAGCACACTTGCAGCCCGTGCTGTAGTCAACACACTTGCAGTCCGTGCTGTAGTTTTTTTCTTTGATGATGCTGTAATAATAGCAGCAGCAGTTCCACTTGATCGTCGTGACGATGATGTTCGAATTGTGTGTTTTCTGCTGGTTTTTGTTACAGCAACAGAAGTTGTTTTTGATGATGATACGGCTTAAAAAAATAAAAACAATGTTGTCTGAAACAAATAATAATAGTAAATATTTTTGTGGACAGACAATGTACGCACTTGTATAGTAATGGCATTGGTAATTCTTATATGTAGAATGGGTATGGTCAGTTAGTAGTAGCGCTGGTGTTGCTATGCAGCGGAACTGAACGGAACTGGATGTTGTTGGGTATTGCTAAAAGACGCGAACACCCACAGACACTCCCAAATTAAAATCTGAGTTAGCCAATCGATAGAGCTCGTCGAGCTGAGTATAGCAACGTCTAACGGACACTCAAAAAAGTTTTTATAATTTCGCTTTTTAAGCATACATTTTGAATGAACACCCACGAACACCTTCGAACACCCAAAGAACACCCACGAACACCCACGAACACAAAGAAGAAAGGGTAAGAACACCCAAAAAAGTGCGCCAAATTCATCTCCAGTTTATTCTGGGCTTAGGGTGAGATGTGGGTGAGCCTACCAGCACCTCATCCTCATCCCCA